CAAGGAAAGTTAATTAAAGTCGCGGGTAAATTTCTGATTCGGAGCAAGTTCGGCTCCAAAGCCATAGAAATACTTTAAACTAAGAGTAGGAGCTTAGGCCGTTTTTATTTTCACCAGCCGGCGTGCCTCCTTCTGATACAGCACGGCTTCGCCGAGCGTGTTCATATTCCACATTATACCTGCTATTTTCAACACTATTACGGTGTATGGAATGGTGGTAGGGAGCGTTGATCAAGTGGACGGATGAGAGAAAAGCCGGGTATTAGTCGAGCATTTGATCATACAAACGCAGGTAGGTGCGATGGAGCCACGCCCCACAAGGCCGGCTTTTCAGCCGTATCACAGAGGCGCGCCTGGAGTGCTTTGGAACCCTTGAAGAATTTTTAAGACTGGCTCTTGATGCACGCTCCAACGGGTAAGCCTCACACTTGTGGATTACACCTCGCTGATCTTAAACTACTTTTTCCCGGTGTCTGGAGTGTTCTGGAACCATTTTAGGGGTTTTTAAGTTAGCTCCCCTCACCTCGCCGCACACTCCGCCCATAGCGTGTGCCTCGAGCTTCCCTACCGATGACCTCTGGCTGATTTTAAACTATTTTTTGCTGGTGTCTGAAGTTTTCTGAAACCATTTTGAGGATCTTTTAAATTAGCTCCGCCCACCTCGGCACACAACGGGAATGCCTCGCACATTCCTACATTTGATAAGCTGGGGACCATAATCCACTTTTTGGCACCATCTGCAGTGCTTTATGACCAAACTACGACTTTTTATACTGGTGGTGCAAATGCACGCCGAGCCCACTGCAGGCGGGTCTCAGTACACCGCGAACAAGTTGTAATCTTGCCAGACGTTCATCTTCGTCTGCGATCTCTAAACATTTTCAGGAACCGAGTTACCGACCTTTGTGCGAAGTGCCGCCCACCTCAAGTACGCCCCGCCCATTCCGGGGGTGTCTCCTCTGTTTGGTCGGATAGCCCTTTGTTAACTTTACTGCACTGTTCCCTTATCTCGGGACTGCTCTGGAACCGAGTTATAACTTTTTTTAGTGACATCGCTAACTTTCGATGCACGCCCCGCCCACTGTGGGAGGGGCTTACCACGGGTCATGGGTGCTATTTAGGTTTTGTCCCATGCTCTACCCACTTCTACCATGACCCCAACGGGTGCTATGAATTTTGTGATAAACAGAGAGACGTACACACACACACACACACACACACACACACACACACACACACAACACACACACACCACACACAACACACACACACACACACAGCACACCACAACACACACAACACACACACACACAACACACACACACACACACACACACACACAACACGCAGACATAGCCGATTAATTAGTAGGCTGTTTTGTGGGAATGCTCGCGCTCCGAGATATTGCAGAAGCAGCACAGTTGCTCTAGTTTCTGGCCTCCATCATCACCTTCCGTCAGGGTAAAGCATCGTGTATGAAACCCGTAGGGGGGAGGTCGTACTTGGCCGCTGGGTTAGGGGGGGGTGGGTCGTAAGCTCAAGGGATTAGTCAGCGCCGGGCAATGCTTAGACAATTGCATTGATAGTGGGAGTGAGCTATGGAAGCCAAGATGAAAAAAAGTGGAAATTATGGTTGTGTATTCTTTACAGATTCTATGCTGCTCGTTTAACAGCCATCTTTTCATGCGAAATCCCCAGAAAGGGATCGTGTACTTGGCTCGGGGGGACGTGGAGTATCGCAAAAGTAGGCTCCTAAGCATCAACAGCTACAAAAAGGTGTCATTGCCAAGTTGAGAACGTGAAACCGCTGCAGAAGACCGGATGTAAAGGAGCGATACAGACATAATAAAAAATTTATTAGGGCAATGTAGGCAAGAATACAATGAACTTAAATATCCAGATAGGTAGCCCATACAACCTCGGTAAGTACGTACTGACCACAACCTAATCACTCTTCACAACCGGATTCGGCTGCGCATGTCTTTTCAACACCCTAACACAAACATCTGCTTGCGTGGAACAAAAGCACTGGAAACACCTTCTCCAGCACCTCTGCCGAACGGCAAGCCTAATGCACGGCGCACGATCGGACAACTCGGAGCTCCCAGTCGCATAGCCGAGCTTCTCTTTCACTCCACTGAAGAAAAGCTATGGTGCTTTTGAAGGCCCACCACTCGAAGCTTTCCGCAAGGTTGTCATTCTTGCACAGGGCGCCCATACATAGAGTCGACCCTTTTGACGTTAGCCTCACCGAGCCGGTCAGCCCCTTCTTCCGGCCTAAACCCATCTTAACCACGTATCTCCCTCAATCCTTTCACACCACCGGCCGCCCAGCTTCTCTCACGCCCGACCACCCAACCTGCTAAAGCTTCGTTGGAACGCAGAAACGATACCCGCTTTTGCCACAGACGCCTTGTCCGTCACTGCGATTGACACACTCTCGCTTTCCTCAAAACCAAGTAATCCTCCCTTGTGACAGCCATAGCATAATCCTTGCGATTCATTCCCAAGCCTGTCCGAACCCTTACCGAATAATTTCACAACGGGCTGGTTCAGCGAATTATTCAGATTGCAACGAGGAGAGGAACGCTACGCTTAGGGAACAATTACCTTGCAATGCTGCTCACCATTCCCTCAATAGCGCGCACCCTAAAAGAGACTATAACCCCCGAAAAGACCCAGGACCTTGCGCAGGTCCAACAACCACGCCTCACAAATGACCCCGCTTCTTTTCTCAAGGAAAACCTCGCTCGCACACGTTCCCGCGAGCGACTAACTAGTCCGAGTACTATGGAGACATACCAGACACTGCCTGTTATATCCGCACTTTTTTTCATCTTGCCGGCTCCGCATTTCTTGGTCCGTTCTTTTCATGCTTCGCCTTTGCTTGCTGCCAAGGGTCATGCATATTTTCACTGATCTTCCCCGTCACCATTCATTTCGACATGCACATCTGGGGTGATCTCCTCGGGACTATTTTTTTTCTTCACCAATTCGCAGCTTACCGCCGGCTGATCCACATTCCGGTGGCTTTCTGTTTCGCAGCTCGCCTGCCTTCTCTTGCTTACAAGTTTCATGCGGCGTTACGAACGACAAGTTTTATTTTTGGAATTCGGAACTTGAGCTGACTAGTAGTATGGACGCAAAATCACTTTCTCCTTGGCCAGCGTTCTTCGGCCGCAAAAGCCCAAAAAAGTTGAGCTCAGCAGGGATCCGATCCCATGATGTTGCGTGGTAAACGCGGCTATATAACTCCGTTCAGAGAATCGCTTTGCAAATTTTGAAGGCAGATTCAAGATCAGCGTCCAAAACCACGTCCAGTGATCTACATCTCATCACAAATGGCCACTTCGACCTGACGACCTTCTCTAGTAAGACAAATTTGTAGGTAATGCGAGGCTGTTGTTCACCTCATATTGCATGAGGCTGAAACAGCCTCTTAGTGTCTGGATTTTAAAACAGGGTCCGCCTTTCGAAAGTCCAGATTCCATTTCAGGAAGCCATTTAGGTAGAACATGTATCTGGTTGTCAGTTAACAACCACAAAAGCAAGACAATATTCTAATCTATCAAGTGAAGAAAAGAAAGCAACTCACCTCTCGAAAAAGCGGCCGAAAAAGTGCGATTTTAAGAAAAAAATGGCTTAACGAAGCCAAAAAACAGCTGATCGGCGCGCCAGCTGTCAATGGGCAGGCGGCAGAGTCCTATGCGGCGCGTTTTGAGCGCGCAGGGAGTGAAAGGACGCAGAACAGCTGTCCCGCGCCGCCAGCGGTTTTGCCACTCGTGACGCGGTCGCTGGTGCACCCGCGTCTGCTGTCCTTCGACAGCCCTAATCAGGTGCAAGGATGACGACTGTACTTTATGCAGCGAACAGGAACATTGAAAACAAGCAGCGTCTAGCAGAAACAGGCGCACCTTGTTTGGCCAACGAGTGGTAAGAACATAACAGAACAGAAGTGTAAATTTATAACCGGGAGTTCTCGCTCGTCATAACACCTAAATGACGTTACAGCAGCAGTGACACAAACGTAAAAATACAAGTTAAAATTCAGAATTTAACAACACTGCACACATGACTTGAGCTGCAATCTGGGACCTTTGAATTATTCGCCTTGGAGATGGTGTCCGAACTGCTACTTCTGCTAAATGAGATTGGAAGTTGAGGAGGCAATTAGGGGGGAATGGGGCACCAAACGGACCACATTCAACAAGTGAATGACTGCTAGCAATGCTTTCCCAGTAAGGTGTTTCTGCTGGACAGGTGAGCAAAAAACAGATGACTGATGCCTTTTCATTCATGCCGTCGACGTCGACCGCAGAAAGTCTCAGTGATTAGTGACTAGTCGTAAATTAAGGGAAGCATGTTATTTATCATTACGATTCAATGATTTTTTAGTTCAATAGAAATTACATGAGAATAGTGACAGAAAATTATATCGTTCAAGTTCATTACTATTTTATAAGGACCAGAAACCGACGAAATCTCAACTAAACAAGACCAAAGAGGTGTAGCGTTCTGCTAGAGAATTTGAAAATAACAGCTGCTAGACTGTATTATACTCTGCGACGGAAGAACAGCAGAATCGGTGATTCGGCATCTCAGGTAAATAGGTGCTAAAGGAAACTACTATTAGATATAACTTTGAGGACATGGAAGAATAGAAGAATCGGCGATTCGACGATTTGAGAGTACGAAAAACCAGGCTATTCTTTCAAGACGCTACGAGTGAGTGGGTACTGGTCTGGTCTTTCAAGACCAGTACCCACTCTCTCTTTTGGTGCAGCCTCCCGATTGTCCAGTCGCCGATTTCTTGCATTATCTAGTTTCAAGATCAAACGCAATCCTAGGAAAGACCATTAACCAGTTTTATCCATTACAAACAACCTCAAAAAGAAAACCCAAATTCTTTGCACTCGTACCACAAGCACTACCAATGAAACAGAACACATATTAACAATGAACTTCACTAAACTCATATTGAACAAGTTAACGAAAGGAATTCACTTGGCGAGTGGTCGTGTCAAATAGATCTTTTCTGAACCTGATGAAAAAATCGGATTATCTGTGTAGTGTTGAATGAGTGACATCATCGTTGGGAAAGCACGTGAGCCTATGTGCAATTGACCTCCAACGGACTGCACCTTGAAATGCTTGTTTCGTTCCACTCCACGCATCGAAATCGAAAGATCTCCTGGCTGGAATTATTCGCTCACTACATGCTAGTCACTACTTGGTTGAAACAGTGAAACCGAAATTGAGAAGTGCTGAAAAAAGTTGAGTAGAACCAGAATGCGAATCTATGATAGAGGGAAAACGAACTCGAAAAACAATTTAAAAGGAAAGCAGCAAACATAAACAGCTTCGCTTGCGAGTACTTGATCGAGGAGCAGAGCTGTGTGGCTTTGGCGGTGAAATGCAAAGTTCTAGATTTGCGAACTAGGGACATAATTGGTCGGGGATTTGGTGAAGCCCGTTACGACTCCTCTTTTTTGGGGGGGGGGAGCGAGTTCATTACGACCCCCGCCCTTTTACTGTTTGACGTCACATACTTCCTAAACTTGAGAAGCTGGGCACAGTTGAACTATGGAAATTTACACGAACTTACGCAAGCTCCTCACCAAGACATCGACAAATGTGATAAGAAAGAATCAGAAATTCACAATTCTCACATCCTTGAATAGAATAAAATGTAGTAAAAAAAACATTCGTCAAGAATACCTGAATAGTACACACTAAGAACACACCACGCTGACCTTTCTGCCAGTAAAACGGTATTTCTCATCAATCATTCACAATAACAAGGAGGAGTTTGAGATCATCAACGCGTTACCTTGCACCAAGTTTCAAGACACTTATATTTAGGTTGTTCGAAAGATATTACGACAATCGACCAACCTAATACAAGTGTCTTGAAACTTAATCCTACTAGCCAAGCCGTTCAAACTTCCAAAAAATTAATAGTTTACAAGTCGGTTCAAACACAAAAAAGGAATCAGAAAGGAATCACCTAGGAATCAGAAACACATTTTCTTTTATGCAGCATCGGGGAGGAAGAACTTCATAAGTTTATGTATAAGTAAAGCCGGAAAACTGAAAAAAGGAACAATCCTGAAGGAGACCTCCCCCCTCCCTTTTTTGCTCATTTCTATGATTCAGAAAAGAGAATAGAAAAGAAAGGCCATTAGGTTTCACCACCTTCCCTCGAGTCAAAACAAATTCTTGGTACCTGGAATTAGTTGCAATTAAAAGAAAAAAACAGGAAATTAACCAGCCTCCTCACAGGGGAATGGTTCGAAGTTCCCATGGAACTTTGAATGTAGCCTAGGTACATCGATAAAGCCTCGAATGCTGTTTGCAAATATGCAGATTAAAAGTGCTACGGGGACCTCCCAGGACGAGATCTGGGTTTTCAAAGTTTGTGTTCTGGCTCGTAAGCGCTGCTGATCGAATGCATCGGCAGTTCCACCGTGGCCTCGTGGTAATGGTCTCGCTTTAAGTCAAACATGCGGGTTTGCATCCTGTTGGCGCGAAAATTTTTGCTTCGCTCCGTATAAGAGCTTCAACTCTAATTTTCGAATTCTTTCGAATCTGCGGCCCAGCAGGACAAGGATCAATTACATCAAGTATATGACGCTACTCGATCTTAGTATGGATCTGGTCACTATCTGCCCTCCTGAACAGCTTACCCATCCAAATCAAAGTTTCAGCGAGAAATTCGTTCATGGGAGATTTTCGACCCCCTGAACACGAATAACATCCTTCGACGAAAAAACGCTCGCCTGCCAAATTGCTATCCTGGGCAAAACTTTGAATTGTCGCGGTGGGAATATGTTCAGAGAGGGCAGATATGACCAAATCCATACTAGATCGAGTACGTCGGTATACTTGATGTACTTGATCTACTTGCCCTGCTGGGCCGTAAATTCGGAAGAATTCCGAAAATTAAAGTTGAAGCTTTTTATAGCGAGCGAAGCAAAATTTTCGCGCCAACCGGATGCCAAACCCGCATGCGTTTGACTTGAAAGCGTGGCCATTACACACAGGCCACGGTGGCACTGCCGAGGCATTGATCAGCAGCGCTTACGAGCCAGAACTCAAACTTTGAAAACCAGATCTCGTCTGGGAGGTCCCGTAGCACTTTTAATCTGCATATTTGCAATCAGCATTCGAGGCTCTATCGATGTACCTAGGTCTCCATCCAAAGTTCTATGACAAGTTCAAACCATTCCTTGTAAGAGCACTCTGAGCGATCCAAGTGACATTGTTGGGGCGCGCTCTGACGAGTATTTGAGTAAACTGAGAAGAAGATAAATATTCGATATTGGAAGTAAACGAGACGAAGGATAAACACGAACGAGTAAATACGAACGAGCCGAAATCAGCTGGTTAAAGGAAGGAGGGATTCTGGGCAGGACCAACGCCGCAAAGTTGTTGCAAGGTGGTTTGGATTGCGAGCGCGAGTTTTCAGGAAAAGAGGGTGTCTTTGGAGCGTAATAACTTCCTTGTATGCAGACCGTTGAGAAAGTGGAAAACCCAGTCGTGAAGAAAAAGAGTTGTGCTCCAAGCAATTACTTGAAATGTTCGTAAAGGTCGCCAAATTCATAGAGAAATTCGCGTTGGAGATTTATTGGGGAGTCACTTTTTGGATAGTTTGCAGTGCGAATTCTACAAGTTTGAACCAAGATATTTCCCTTGAACCTAAATATTTTGGAAATCTGAAACCGGTGTCGAAATCTAAAAGATTCTCTCTTTCCGAAAGCTACTTGAACTGTTTCTGAAGTTCCGGGATTCATGAGATAATTGCATTGGGGATTTGTTGGGGAACACTCCAAACTGTAAAATCCGTTTTCTGTGTACGGTTTCAAGCAGCGTGTTCGAATCACCAGAAATACATGTAGAAAGTATCCTGTGGTGGAGCAGGAGCAGGACGTGGTTTGTTTAGCGCCAATCATGCTAACTTTGGATTCACCGCGCATGAGGTCCGCGCAGAGGTGATGGGATGGTGCAATTTGAGCGTAATGTATGTCCACGCGGGCAAATCTGTCTACAGGATTCAGTGAGGTCCATGGCGAGCCTTTGCACTTGTTTACAGCGTTTTCCGTTGCGTATGATAGAGCGTGTCCCTGTCGACGCCGCCAGATTCGTGCTCCGCCAATTGATTCCGATAGAGGAGACCAACTGCTGGAAAACGTCCTGTTCGAACGTTATGGTAGTCCTGTCGATTGTCGAAAAAAAACAGGTTGGCTCAGCGCCAAGCGCGATCGCGGACACGCCATATCATTGGCAACGAACCAGAGTATGAGTTGTACCGTTTAGTCACTTACGAGATGATGTCGACTTATTAATATTTCCAGCTATTTCGGATTAGTTTGATGAATGGAAGTTTTGTACTATTTTTTTACACATCTGAGTTCTTTACAAAGCAAGTTTGGCTGCACAGGACTCAGCACACTGACACCTTTGCGCTGCTCGTTACTAGCTACCGCACTCATTACGACCCCCTCTCATGGCGGCCAAATACAATCCCCCCTGTTGGGGAATCCCCAACCAATGATGACGAAGAAAACGCTTAGGGCATTCTCGAAGTGAGCGGATTGAAATAGTAGTATGAACAAACAAAATAAGTTTTTTTGATTACAAGTGAATTTTTTCTCATTCGAAGCAGACTGCAAACCACTGATGTAGAGTGGAACGTGCATGTTGAAGCGATGGTTGCTGTGCAAGGATAGAGCAGTCACACTGATCTGTCCTGCATGAGACTGCACATAGACATCCATCAACATCACTCGCTGAAACTCTTCTTCTGCTTCTCCCTAGCGATAGTCCCACACTACTGCAGTTTTCGCTGTTCTCATCAAACTGTTCGTCCCCACTTGTTCTGATTCACTGCATCTTCTGCCGTGGCACTCAATTCAGTGAGCTCCTTCCTGATGACGTCCCTCCATCTTTTCTCTTCTCACTTCAAAGTCCAACGCTTTCCTTACCGCATGGTCCTCAGGCTTCCCCAGTGCGTGCCCATACCCAAACCATCGCAGTCACTGCTCTCGTGCTCTCAGCTGGATCGAAGTCGTCTGTGATTCAGCTTCAAACGTATCTGGGCAAACATATTCCAGCCGATAGAAGCTGCGTTTCATGGTTCTTGCATACGGGCCAGCACTTACTGCCGTGGAACACTGAAGGCCTTACCAATGACCCCGAGAGTTCTCAAGCACAGCCAGTAGAAGATGATGAATGTAGACTCCCTCCACTTCATCTAGGCTACGTCGATTCGAGCCTTCACCGCCTGGTCCACGTGGTCCACGCGCTCGGAGCAAAAGGACTGCCGTGCGTACACGGTCACTACTACCCAGTACCCCTCCTTCGTGTCTATTCTTACAGCCATGTTCGATGACTGATCTTGTTCACAGAGGAGACATAGTCCTTGAGAGGTTCTGCTGCCGCTATGGCTGCACCATTCCATTTGGTGTCTCCTCCATTGTGAAAGAGTTTGACCCTTCTTTGATCCCGTAGGCGGCCGCTTTCTGAAGGCATAGGACTCGGCTACTCATGCGTGCCATGGAGAAGGCATCCTCTCGAAACTTACCGTTTAGCGATCCCGAATCGAACTAGTTTCTTTGGCTGAGATCGTTTACCGCTCTGTAGCTCTCGCATATTGACCATAGGACTGGGGCGAATAATCTGCGCGCCAGCTCCGGGTCCTAGCATCAACAGTGATTCCACTGCGACTTTTAGACATGATTGCTGTGCTGGGGTTCTCAATCAGTAGGCCTGTCGACCTGGGCCTGACGCTGGTATCGCCAGGATCTTTGTAATTTTGCAAGGCACGGTTCGCACCTCGACAGTGATCGGACTCGTGGCTTAGGGTGCATACATGAGCCTACACTCCTAGCCACTCGGCTACCCCTGCCGTTCCGATACTTGCCACTTCGAGCGGACAGTTCTTGAACATCGAAACATATTCCAAGCGTTTCTACCCTAGATTATTGAAGGCCTTTCTGAGGTTTACGCAGAAGGGTGAGCTATGGTTTCGTGAGAGCTTTCAGAGAGGTTCTCCAGAGCTCATGTTGCTTTTCGGTCAAGTGGTAGTATAAACTTTACGCCGTATAGACCCCGTTTGGGAATTGGCTTGCATTCGACTTTAATTTAAAAATTCAAAATGCAATGGCTTAGTGAATGCGAAATTGCCTGAACAATAGCATGCGGGCCAGTTTATGTAAAACTCAAAGTTTTTATCCTCCCAAATAAATTCAGTACCAATTTACTGATCCCGGACGGAAGAAAGCTTGGCTGGCCTGGGCGGGCCAGTCCGGAAAAGGACCAAGGAACCGCGCGCGCGGTAAACGCTACTTGTCATCACACCATCCTCGCCTCCTTTTCGACATATTCTACAAGTTATTGTAGGGCCACTCTGTCGTAATCTAGCAAAATAATACCTTTGTTGTCTTCGAGAGGGAAGTCGCCTACCATGTCGGTGATAAGTAGGTTTCAGCACTTAAAAGCCGGAGATATTTTACTTATATTTTCTTCCAGGTGGACGTGGTGTAGTGGCAAGTGACGCGCTCAATAAGTGCGTGATGCGAAAGCCAAAACTCGGATCGGCTCCCGCTCAGGCAACCAAGCTGTTCAACCTCTGGAAACGGTAAATTGCAACCAGATTTGTCTGAGAGGATAAGGACATCGATCTTCACTCCGGTTGGCCATATAAATCACTCAGTAACCATTACGATTTTGCAAGGTCATATCGACGTCATATCGGAAGAGGAGATCGACGATTAAACCCATCGCAGTC